GGAAGGTGACTACACCATAAATGGAAAGGACCTACAGGAATCCTAGAGAGAGATTTGAGAGTAGATATAATTCCATCACTAACACAAGAGGCACACACAGCCAGGTTGACATCAGCAGCATATGGGACGCTGGTAAACATTAGAACCTCGTTTAAACCCCTAAATCAGGACTGTTTCAAGGCAATCTACACATCTTTTGCTAGCCGAACACCGGAATATACAGCACTGGCCTGGAAACCGTAGCTTATGAAGCATAAAACTAACTGAAAATGTTCCGAGACTTGAAACAAATTTAGTGCCAGAAAGAGGAGAAACAGAGGGGATATGATCACTCCATATAAGATACTGAGGGGAATAGACAAAGTGGACAAGAACATCCTCTTTAAATTTAAAGTAGGGCGAGAGTGGACGCCGTAAATGCAACTGAGTCAAAGAAATACAAGTAAATACTCGTGCCTTGACCAGTGGTCTACACGTGGACTACACTGAGGGAGGAAGGTGTGGAAGCCACCTCCATCCACAACTTCAAGACTATAACAAATCCACAAGGACCGTAACGAGGATTCGAACCTGCGTCCGGGAGCATCCCAGACACTGCCTTAATCGACTGAGCTACGACAGGGTACTAGATTCGACTAGATTCGAATCTAGATGAAGACTAGATTCGACAAAAAAAATATAATTCTAACGTGCTAATTCTAACCTTCTAATTCTATAGTTACAACATGGATATAAGGAATTATATCCATGTTGTAAGTGTGGGCAAGAGTTACAAGATGGGCAGTAGGCAGGGACATAGAGACTACACCTCACTCCCACATAGTTACGGAGAGGTAAGTACTGATAGAGAAGCAGGCTGTAACAACCCATTACACTCCAAGGAGCCATCAGGCGGTAACGACTGGTGGCCGCGAGCCGGAGAGTGCCTGCGTCACCACTGGGGCCCACCGTGGCACCTTTCATTAGCCTCCCTTGTACTGCCACAATATTCTGCCCGCATTGTTCCCGCGTCACTCTCTTCCAAAAGACTGCTGGCGCTCGCGGAGACAATGACAAGTGGTGGGGGTGGTGGTTGGGGGGTGGTGGTGGTGGTGTCTTGGTGGTTGGGGTGGTGGAGGTGGGGGTGGTGGTAGTGGTGGTGGGGGTGGTGGAGTCCTGGTGGTGGAGTCCTTGTGGGGGTGGTGGTGGTGGTGGTGGTGGTGGTGGTGGGGTCGTGGTGCTGGTGGTGGTGGTGGTGATGGAGTCCTGGTGGTGGTGGAGTCCTTGTGGGGGTGGTGGTGGTGGTAGTGGTGGTGGTGGTGGTCCGGGGTGGTGGTGGTGGTGGGGTCGTGGTGCTGGTGGGGTCGTGGTGCTGATGGTGGTGGTGGTGATGGAGTCCTGGTGGTGGTGGAGTCCTTGTGGGGGTGGTGGTGGTGGTAGTGGTGGTGGTGGTGGTCCGGGGTGGTGGTGGTGGTGGGGTCGTGGTGCTCGTGGTGGGGGTGGTGGTGGTGGTAGTGGTGGTGGTGGTGGGGTCGTGGTGCTGGTGGTGGGGGTGGGGGTGGTGGGGGTGGTGGTAGTGGTGGTAGTGGTGTCCTGGTGGTGGGGCTGGTGATGGGGGTTGTGGTGGGGTCCTGGTGGTGGGGTCCTCGTGGTGGGGTCGGGGTGGTAGTGGTGGTGGTGGGGTTCTGGTGGTGTTGGTGGTACTGGTGGTAGTGCCGGTGGTGGAGATAGTGGTGGTTGTAGTAACAAATTTAATACAAATATTCTCATTTAAATGAGGATTTATATAATATAACAAGCATTTTGCATAGATTTTAATTTGTGTACATATGATGTTTTACCTTCAAGAAGCGAGAGACGGATACAATGCAAACATTGCAAATAATTTATCATTTGCAATCAAATTATTTGCCATTCCTTGCGTGTTAAGTTTAGATCTATCTCTAAATGGTACAAATTACCAACAGTGGAAGATGTAACCCTTGAAGCCTGGTCGACGACCGGGCCGCGGCGACGCTAAGCCCCGGAAACACTTCAAGGAAACAACTCCTAGAGTCACATGAGGTGTTGCAGCTGTGGCTATCTTGAGATGATTTCGGGGCTTTAGTGTCCCCGCGGCCCGGTCCTCAACCAGGCCTCCACCCCCAGGAAGCAGCCCGTGACAGCTGACTAACACCCAGGTACCTATTTTACTGCTAGGTAACAAGGGCATAGGGTGAAAGAAACTCTGCCCATTGTTTCTCGCCGGTGCCTGGGATCGAACCCGGAACCACAGGATCACAAGTCCAGCGTGCTGTCCGCTCGGCCGACCGGCTCCCTTTTGCATATATTTTGCATATATATGTGAGATGAGATGAGATGAGAGCCTACACCTGCCTCTCATCTTATTGTGTTACTCGCTCCCGTACGAGTGTCTTAAGTGATTCACTGGTCTGTGGTAGACCCGGGGAGCCGGTCGGCCGAGCGGACAGCACGCTGGACTTGTGATCCTGTGGTCCCGGGTTCGATCCCAGGTGCCGGCGAGAAACAATGGGCAGAGTTTCTTTCACCCTATGCCCTTGTTACCTAGCAGTAAAATAGGTACCTGGGTGTTAGTCAGCTGTCACGGGCTGCTTCCTGGGGGTGGTGGCCTGGTCGAGAACCGGGCCGCGGGGACACTAAAGCCCCGAAATCATCTCAAGATAACCTCAAGATAGACGGTGGGTCTGCTGTTTCTTGCTGCTGGTCGCACTCGTTGCAAATGTGTTGAATGTGGTTGTGTTGTAACTCTATCACCTTGTGTTTACTGTTGGCTTCAGTTGTTCTTGTTCTCACTTGACCTCTGACCTTCTCTGAGCGGTAACATATGCGTGCTTGTCACAGCCAGCCTCACCTGCTTATTAATTAGTGTGTAGCACACCTGGGTACACACACACACACACACACACACACACACACACACACACACACACACACACACACACACACTGGCGGGACCAAAGAGCCAGAGCTCAAACCCCGCAAACACAACTAGGTGAGCACACACACACACACACACACACACACACACACACACACACACACACACACACACACACACACACACACACACACACTAAACCAAACTGTGTAATTGATATCGTTGTTGCTTTAAACTCAGCTACTGGAACAAAATTTCCATGTAGCACGGGCTATGGTGAACCCGTATGTGGAGGCTCTCTGGAGCCATTATCAGTATCAACAACTGATACTGAAAATGTGGGGATGGTGTCCGTGGACGCACCAATCCACCCCAAGACCATAGGGCTGGTCAGACCGGTGATATGTTGGGGTACACACGTCTGGTGACTGGACGTTGGGTAATTGATTGATTGATGAAGATTAAGCCAACATAGAGGTGGCACGGGCACGAATAGCCCCGTAAGGGGTAATTAGTAGTCTCATTTAGTCTAAATACCTCTAGCGTCTCTCTGAATCTGACCCTCCCTGGGTTATTTTGGGTGTGGGGGGGAGGGAGTGAGAGGGGAGGAATGGATGGGAGAGAGGAGAGAGCAGAGGAGAGGGATGGGAAAGGGATGAGGGGTTAGAGGGAAGGGGGAGAATGGCGGATACCAACTAGAATAAACATGAATTTATGTTTGCAAATGTAAAATTAATGAAAGGGCAGAAAAAGTGGAACAAGCTGCAGTAACAGTCCAGCACGTCCTGGCTCTTGTGAACCAGGAGGTTGATGAGTGATTAAGTCACCCAAGAGGTGGCACGGGCATGAATAGCCCCGTAACCCCCTAGGATGTCAAGTGATGGGTGACAGGTGTGGCAGAACCCAAAAAGACACTATAGGAACTTTGCATCAGACTTTGTAGGTTGGGATGTGGGGACCCAATATCTTAAGCTCAACTCACAAGAACAGCTAAGAAAACACACGTGCACGCGCATACACACACACACACACACACACACACACACACACACACACACACACACACACACACACACACACACACACACACACACACACACACACACACACACACACACAATCGAAAACGACATGGTTACAGATGAGCTATGCAAATTGCTCTCCCGGACACACTGCACCACTTACTGGATTGGGCAAGCTGTTAGGTGGCTGGAAAAAAAAGGAGGATATAATATAAATATTTAATAAAATGGATAGACCTTTGGTTAGGGGGAGTGTATGTTACTATCCATACCGCAGAGGGTACTATCCTCAACAATGTCAGGGAAAGATAACAGACATAGAAAGTACAACAGTGTCCCAAGTTGAGGTGAACAGCAAAAGAACAACGGATGGAACTATTCTCTTGAAAACTGATGACGTAGAGAAAGAATTCTTGTCAGTACCTTCTAGAGTACAATTTTTGGCGATAAATTTTTAGTTCTGGCATTAAATAAATCGAGTAAATATAGAAATCGTTTAGAAGCCTATTTTTTTTATAGAAATCGTTTAAAAGCCTATTTTTTTTAAATACAGTATATAATTCCAATGTTTACATTTTACAATGACGGAAAACTCCAGAATTCTGACGGCAAAAAAATTACACAAATTTCCCTTTTTGGTGGAATACTCCAATTTTTGGGAGTAAACTCTACTCATGGCGGGAAACTCTAGAATTCTGGGGATAAATTTTGACCCCTAGGGAACCACTCATGAATTCTGCAGCTACAAGTCGGGGGATGGAATTTACATACATTTGAAGTTTGTGTCATGGTGTGGATTATGGTCGGGTCTCTTTGTTCCAGGTCTGTCATGGTGTGGATTATGGACGGGTCTCTTTGTTCCAGGTCTGTCATGGTGTGGATTATGGACGGGTCTCTTTGTTCCAGGTCTGTCATGGTGTGGATTATGGACGGGTCTCTTTGTTCCAGGTCTGGCATGGTGTGGATTATGGACGGGTCTCTTTGTTCCAGGTCTGTCATGGTGTGGATTATGGACGGGTCTCTTTGTTCCAGGTCTGTCATGGTGTGGATTATGGACGGGTCTCTTTGTTCCAGGTCTGTTATGGTGTAGATTACAGATCATGATAGTCCCTGCCCCTACCTCCTCTACCCCTGCCCCCACCATCTCTAGCCCCACCTCCGCTACCTCTGGCCCCGCCCCGCTACCTCTGGCCCCGCCTCCGCTACCTCTGGCCCCGCCCCCGCCACCTCTGGCCCTGCCCCGCTACCTCTGGCTCCGCCTCCGCTACCTCTGGCCCCGCCCCCGCCCCACCACCTCTAGCCCCGCCTCCGCTACCTCTGGCCCCGCCTCTACCTCTGGCAACGCCTCCTCTACGTCTGACCCCACCCCCACCACCTCTGGCCCCGCCCCACTCCTCTGGTCCCACCATCTCTCAGCTGCCACAGACACTCATCATAAATCTCCTTGATGAGTCCAGCGTCTCGTATATATCATAGAGTTTTCTTTTCCTTCGTTCGTATTGACTTCTGCACCAGGACCCAACCCTCCTCCCGCCTGCCTCCACACGTGCCTGGGAGTTGTGCTAGTGTTTCTTGCCAGGTCTCTGTACTCGCCTAGATGTGCTTACATGGCCGGGCATCAGCTCCTAGTCCCGCCTTCTTATCAGTTTGTAGGTAAATGTAATTTGCTCGTCTAACTCATTCCTCTTACAACTCTTACACTCATATCAGCAAGAACATTTGTGTGTGTGTGTGTGTGTGTGTGTGTGTGTGTTTGCTTTGTCCCTCCCTATATATTTCTATCATATCTACTTTTGAAATTATGAATGCAGTTTCTACCATCTCCTACTATTTTTACGCTAAAAAAAACTTTCAGACATCACTGTAGCTCATGTTTCTCGAGCTTCCATCCATGTCCTCTTGTTCAAAATGAATACCAGTAGAACCTCTCTTCTTGTTTTCCCCACTCTTTTAATCCCGTAAAGTATTTTATGTGTGTGTATTATGTCGCTTCTTTTTTTAGCGATGTTTGGTCCAACTCTTTCAGTCTCCCTTCATAACCCGTCTCTCATAATTCTGATACGAGCTTCATGTAAACCTCTGTACCTTTTCATGTTTCGTATGTGTTTTTGAGGTTTCAGGTTTTGTGTAGCATTTGGTAGATCATTGATGTATATGAAAAAGAGGACCAAGTATACTACCTTGTGAAATGCCAATGTTAATTGACAGATAGGGAAAAGTAGTAACATTCACAGAAGCATACTGGTGCTCATCTCCGAGGTAAGATCGAAAGTACTGAAGGGAATGACTTCATTCCATAGTGATGCAGTTTAAGAAGGTTATTGTGGTTAACGGTCTCAAAAAACCTTATGCAGGTCAACAAATAAACTTATGGTGTCCCCAGTTTTGTCAAGAGCTACATGTATCAAGTCAAGCATATTAAAGTATCGTTGGTGCTTGTATGGGAAGAAACAAGGCCATAATGGGAAGAACCAAGTATATTATGTTTAGCTAGGTAGGAGTAAAGCTGCGTGTACATTAGCTTTTCAAGTATTTTGGACAAGGAGGGGCAAGATTAATATTGGTCTAAAGTGGTTGATTTTGGAGTTTAAGAAGAGGATAATCAGTTAAAATGTTGTAATTTGGCATGAATGAAAATGGCTTTATTTTTTATAGTTGTTTATTTAATTATACATACGATATATTAGTTGAAATCTAGTTAATAAGCATGTTAAGAGTATAAATATTCTTAAAACTTTACATGTTCTTTAGTTTAATCATAGTTTTGTATGTTGAATAAAGATTAGCAGTCACAAAGTTGAAATTTGGATAATTTGGAGATTTTTTGTGCCTGCCGGGTCTTCAGAGAGGTTGCCTATACTTGATGGGTCACCATGGGTCTGGGAAGGTTACATATGTCTGGTAGGTCATGGGTCTGGGGAGGTCATCTATGTCTGGTAGGTCATGGGTCTGGGGAGGTTATCTATGTCTGGTAGGTCATGGGTCTGGGGAGGTTATCTATGTCTGGTAGGTCATGGGTCTGGGGAGGTTACCTACGTCTCGTAGGTCACTATGGGTCTGGGAAGGTTACATATGTCTGGTAGGTCATGGGTCTGGGGAGGTCATCTATGTCTGGTAGGTCATGGGTCTGGGGAGGTTATCTATGTCTGGTAGGTCATGGGTCTGGGGAGGTTACCTATACTTGGTGGGTCAATATGGGTCTGGGGAGGTTACCTACGTCTCGTAGGTCACTATGGGTCTGGGGAGGTTACCTATGTCTGGTAGGTCACTATGGGTCTGGGGAGGTTACCTATGTCTGGTAGGTCACCATGGGTCTGGGGAGGTTACCTATGTCTGGTAGGTCACCATGGGTCTGGGGAGGTTACCTATGTCTGGTAGGTCACCATGGGTCTGGGGAGGTTACCTATGTCTGGTGGGTCACTATGGGTCTGGGGAGGTTACCTATGTCTGGTAGGTCACCATGGGTCTGGGGAGGTTACCTATGTCTGGTAGGTCACTATGGGTCTGGGGAGGTTACCTATGTCTGGTAGGTCACCATGGGTCTGGGGAGGTTACCTATGTCTGGTAGGTCACCATGGGTCTGGGGAGGTTACCTATGTCTGGTAGGTCACCATGGGTCTGGGGAGGTTACCTATGTCTGGTAGGTCACCATGGGTCTGGGGAGGTTACCTATGTCTGGTAGGTCACCATGGGTCTGGGGAGGTTACCTACGTCTGGTAGGTCATCATGGATCACTCGATGGCTCGTGAAAAGCAAAGTGGCTTTTCCCACCTCTTGTCTCCCTTCGTAAAACCTCTTGGATTTAATCAAAGCTTCATGGCCTACTGCCCACAAGATTGGTATGGGGTTCATAATAAATGAACTAAACTAAATGGCTGCTCAAAGTACATTTTCCTGCCATACTTATATTTCAATCTGATTTTCTTTAAATATTTACAAACATCTAAAAAATAAGTTACATTTCCTTAAAATCCAACAATAGCCTCTTTAAATACAGTAATAATATTGATATTAGCTTACGTTATTATAAACAATCACAAACTTTTCAATCAGCAATTGCATTTCAATCTGATTTAGTTAAAATTTTCAAAATTTGATATTTCAATCTCATTTTTATAAAAAATAATAGTAAATCTCTTTAGTATTCCTTTTCATCAGTATAGAGCTATTATCAATGCCTATTATTGTTACAAATCTCTGGATACATCTCATGGTGACTTGTCTAAGGATATCTTCATATACAACCCAAGTCGCTATCAGGCGGGAAAAGCCATTAGCATAATATTTCAAAATAATTGTCAATTATATAACCTCAAGATGAGAGATATACAATATTTGAAACAACACAGAGATGGTATACTTCAGATATCATTCAAAAAATGAATTGTGAAACCTTAAAGTATTACAATTTCAAACAGATCATTTTAGAGACTTAGAAATTCAATTTAGATTATACAGTATTTTGCAAGGGTGAATGAGCAGAATATTAATCAATTTCTTGTTGTCAATATCTAGAAATGGAGACCACTTTGTTTACAAAATTAGTTCCTAAAACACTCGCCAGGAAACTCCACACCCAAAAATGAATAGAAACAGGAAATTATACTGTACCAATATCTTGTTAGTGTTTCAAATATGAAATTAAATTATTAAATCATTCTTAAGCTATGAGGCAAGAGCTAACAGTAGTAAAAATAAATAAATAAATAAATATAGGTAACCAGGCTATTATCATAAAGAACATTTGCCAAACCCCAGGGAGATGCATAACTAAACTGTTAAGTAGTGAAGCATAAACATAGGAACTATTTTAAAATAATATAAAATCTCACTTGTGACTTAAACCTTCCAGAGGCAGCATCGTAACCAAACTCGTAAAAAATAAATGTATACTATAGCCCAAAACCTGCACATGAAATTAAAGCTAAGGGTCCAGGGTGGACCAAAAGATCAAGTTATAAATGAGCATAAGTGGAAGAGGTAGTCAATATAAGACAAGGGAGGGAAGATGAGGTTACAGATGATGATGTGTATATGTAGGAGTAAAGTATGGAAACTGAGCCAATAGGCCTACTGCAGTATCTTAGTCTCATGTTCTAATGTTAGTCTAGTTTGTGTGCTTTACTTCTCCACTTACTCCTCACCTTCCCTCTTACCTTTTATTGACTGCCTCTCCCGCTCTTGCTCAGTTACAACTTGTTAAGGGTCCAGAATGGATCGAAATGTCATCACTTTCATTTCGTGTGTGGAATGGGTTATTGTTTCAGCCATGTTACTGTGCCATTCTCTGTATACTGTACTGTATTTACATACATATTGAATTGTTACATAAATATTTTATACTGTATTGGATAATGTGATATTCTTTAATATGTTGATAACCTACTGTAGTTAGGATACAATACACTAATATATCTTAAAGTTGTTGCATTATCTTGACTGTTCTTCTGGCACTGAGTTAAGATCAGTGACTGAGTTGTAGTGCTCTCCAAGACCATAAGAGTGACGATAATATGCCAGCAGGATGGTCTTTTTGTCAGTGCACTCTTCACCAAATATAACTGGCGTACCTTCCGCCTGAAAGAGAAAATACTCAAGAAAGTTAAGAGTAATTCTTAATGCTCAAAGACGATAAATGAAAACAATTGCTGTAAGGACTAATTCATGTACATACAGTAGTGCCAATGTAGACATTCTTCAAGTACAGTACTGAAAATAGTTCCCAGGTTTACAGTTTAAGTTTTCCTCGACACAAAGGGTATAAACAAACATAACTACATTCGCCTTCCTCAACACTAACCTGCAATACTTCAATCTTTCTCTGCATCACTTGAGACAGGGCACGAAGCTGAAAAAAAAAACACTTATACAGTTCACATAGGTGTAGGTATTTAAAGTTAAAACAGTGGTAATTTCATGGAAGGACTGAAGATAGCAGCTACCTCCAGTTAACATTTTAGACCTCTAGATTATGCTAGCAATGTGATATATTAGGAGAGCCCAGTGCACAGAATTTTGTATTCAAAATGCATTTATGCAAAACTTTTTAGTGAGCTCACATCTAATCCCTATGAACATTTTATAGCAAGAAATGCTATTAAGTAACAGTGGATACTGGACTATGTCTTGGCAGTCAGCCTCATTAGAGGGCAGTCGTTATGCATCCTGAGAGGATGACCTGGAGCAGTAGGGATGGGAAATAAGGCAAGGACACATTTTGAACTAGGTACATTGCAAGTTTTTCTGCCGTCATCAGATCCTTTAAGAGGGTTCCCAACAGTAAGAAAACAGACCAAGATGAGCAGATATTTTACTAATCAGTGGTGATACTGGCACTGATGATGATGATACTATAATTGCACTTTTGTTGATACTGATGCTACTGATAATGGTGATACTGTTCAAGATGCTGACAATGATCATCAGCTAAGATGCACAAAGATTAGGAAATATACATTTGAGTGGCTACCATATATGGTCATCCAAACATAAAATGCATCTATGACCCATAAATACAAAAGGGGCATGAATATCATCAATACATCACCTACCTGGGTCTCATCAATTGCTTAATGAAATGTATTCTATAATAATAAATTCTTTACTTTAAATTTTCATTAAAACATAAAATGCTGTTTGGTATGATTAGGCATCAGAAGAAAGTAATTTATAGGTATTGCCAATTAACACTTCTATCAAAGGTTACTATTAAAGTTATCACTTGCAACAGTTCCATCAAATATCAACACTTAGGTTAATTAAGCTCCAACTACAGCAATGCACTACTATCACCTAAACTTATCACTATACATGTGTGTCAACGCATTGTGAGAATAACAAATTATAGTGTGTAGGTACATCAACACACTTCTAGGACTTATCAAGGAAAACTGAAAATCCTAAACACTAAATCTTTCCTCTATCCAAAATTAACACACGCATACCTCAGGCTGGCCACCCCATGATGGTGTATGTTCAACTTGAGAGCAGTACTCTGCAAACTGTTGAGGCGTCAAGCTTTCTCCAGTCTTAGGGTCAGTTATGAAAGGTGCAAAGGCCTCATAATTTGTACGGATAAAGTGACCAGCTTGTGACCGCAGCCATGGAACTGTTGCGTTGCCTCCCATCTGATGAGCAATAGCAGCGTACATACTGTACAGGAGGAAAACATTCATCAATTTAGCTAAAGAATTCATGTAGGTTAACATTATAACTTTTTTAACAAAGTGAGGGCGAATTTGCTAAAATGAATGCTGGAGGATGGCTTTATGATGGATAAGAGGCTATCTATTCAACAGGAAGTCATCTGTACTGTTCCAAGGGCATAAGAGTATAATGAGAGATTATACTCTTTAATTAATGAATTGGTTGCAATAATCCTTGCACTCGAGCGTGTACATGAATCCAAAGTTAACACGCTAATTGTAAGTGACTCCTTGTCATCCTTGACTGCACTCAGCTCTCCAAGGCTTAACTGTAACATGCTTGTGTCTGAAGCTAGACACAGTTGTAATGAAATAATCAATAATGGAGTCAGTTTGTCTCCTGTGGATTCCTTTCCATATTGGTCTCTGAAGCATGACAGAACTGATGAGTTAGCCAAAACTTTTGCTTGTAAAGAGGTAATTGATTACCATCTTGGACTGCCTTTGAGTAGCCTGAGGGCAGTAATATTACAGGAACATCAACAAAATCTTGTAGACTTGAGGCAAAGGGAAATTCATACCAGTTACTCCATCATCTGTCTATTATGCAGGTAGAACTGCATGTCTATGGGTCATCCAATAAGGATAGCAGACCTTTAGCTGTTACCACTGCTAAACTTAGGCTCAGCTACTAGTACCTCTGGGAGTTTGCAACATCTGCTGATGTAGATTAGACTAAATGTAAACTCTGTCAGCAGAACTATTCACATACTTTGCATCATAATGGAATGTGAAAAAATCGTGAAATTCTGAGATAACACCATCAATGAAATCCAAGAAATGTGTAAGTACTTCAATCATAATGTACTGCCAGGAATCTTAGTGAAGTATCCAAAATTTGATTACTGTAGGTGCAGCCTGACTATACATGACTATAAAGCTGCTGCTCAGTTGTGGTGTGGAGCAAGACTAATAACTGTGTGACTCACCACAGATGTAAAGTGCCTTGTATAGTGACAGTTTTAAGCCTCTTGTTGAATCATTTGTGATATAAAAAAAAATGATTGATATGTATAAGTTATTGTGTACATGTGTATGTAACATTAAGAATGGTGTAACTAGCTTCAAAGGATTGTCACTTGCTTAGTTAAACGAACTTTGATTTTATTTTATTTGAATTTGATTTGATTTGAACTATGGGGTTCAGTTCCTGAACCCATTATCTGCCTCTGTAATAAAAAAAAAAAATAATAAATAAAATTAAATGCATAATAAAAAAAAACTGAAATTAGCAAAGAACTAAAAAAAAAAATCCGATTTATACAACATCTGATAAACTCCTACAAATGTTAAGGTTAGGTAATGGTTTCATACAATATTACAGATATCCAGGAACTAGAGAGGAAACAAAACTAACAGAGTCACATACAGTACACTTGAGAATAGCAAAACTGTATGATTTGTAATGCTTGAAACAGTTTTATTGATATATGATAGTATTTATACTTAACAACACTTGATAATGCTATAAATATGTACTGACATTCAAATTTGGGGGGCCAAGCTATGGTGCAATAACAACCCTTGACTCTGGTGTAATGTTTAACTCTAAGATCTGTAACTCTACACACACAGAGATCACACTAACGTGATGCATCAAATGAACAAATCCACAGATGTAGGTTCGAATCCTCGTCACTGCCCTTGTGGATTTGTTCATCTGTAACTCTAGGTTCTGTACAGAAAACTTATATTAAGGATAAAAACATGAAACTTATGAAAACAATATCAAGGATAAAATAGAAAGTAAAAGCTAAGAAGTAAAAGCACCATTGAAATTTAGGAGCAGGGTCATCCTTGTAAGTGAACAAGGAGGCAACTGTATCCCACTTCCAGGATGGAATATTTTATATAATCTGCAAACCATTTCTTGACCCTAAATGTTATAGTCTGTAAATACAGGCAATATATAAATTTTCCTCACCAATTGCCATCAGGTTTAATCTCGTGCATTTTCAGTTTCCTCTCACGCAGCAAGTGCTTCAGCTTCTCTGCCTCGATGTTCCGTGCACTGTACTTGTTATTGGCTTCCTCCTCTCGAATCCGTGCCTCTCGCTCCCGGATAGCCTCGGCCTTTTTTTGACGACGCTTCTCTGCCTTGCTTATTCGTTTTCCTGGACAAATCAAAATGTATTTTACATGGTACTACTTCATCGCTATCCCTATGGCCTGGCCTCTGACCATGTCATAAGGAAAGCCATCTTGCACTTTTACTTCAATCTTCCACCATCCTGGAAGTACTTTCCTGAATCAGAATAGATGAATAATTATACTAGTGAATCCACAGCTATAAAAAATAATAAAAAATAATTGTTGTATTGGCTAGTTTTAATATAAAATTAAAACGAGCAACATCATGGTCTTCAATTTTAACATAGCCCCACACATAACATAAAACAATAGCCCCACCTTGATCCTGCTCTAGCAGGTTAGGTTCCTCCTCTTCGTTTACAGGCTGCGACTCGCCAGACCCATCATCAGAAAGGTTTAACGAGTCCACACCATTACTCACAGTGTCCACCTGTACACAGAAAAGCTGTAATATATCAACTACAGTATTGACTTAACCAGTCATGCTAAAGTAATAGACCTTCATTATTAGTAGCTCCATTCATTGTTTATTTTCAAATTACTGTTATGACCTTATGTTTAAATTGATATAATTTGACAAGAAAATGGGATGAATTAAAAAGTACTGTATAAGTACAATTTTAAATAATCAGTGATAATGTCTTCAGGATTGTTTATGGAATGAATAATAATGTATTCATCCACTGTGCCCAAACATGGAATTGTAATTTTATAGAACCCTATATTTAGAATTACAACTCTATAGTTCTTTCTCTGTATGTAATCTCTTTTTATCAAATACTTATTACTAAGAATATACATAATCTGATAAATAGAATGCAAAAGAAAGCACTATAATCTGTCCACTTTTTTTTATTTTTCACCTCCTGTGGTGGTTTAAACCTGGTTAGTTCCTCTTCATGTCGGTCCTTCAGTTCCTTTTCTAATTTTGCTATATCCTCCAGTGCCTCTTTCTTTTTCTTCTTATCTTTGTTGGTTGACTTCTTTAGCTGCTGAATTTGTGCTGTAACAGATAAAATTATGAAAAGAAAAAGCATACAGTATTACACACACACACAGCCTTAACAAACATGATCAAATATCAAAGTTACTTAAAAAGTAAATAATTAATTATGTTTAGAATAAAATCAAAATAAAATTATAGTGAAGAATATATGATGACTTAAATAACTATATTATATAATGACTTAAATAACTTCTTGGAAGGAAAGTATCAATAAACATGCGAGAATTAGGGAAAACATCTTGGTGTGAAGTGTCTGAGAAAAACTCAACCCATGAACATAAAGCTTCTGAACCTCACCTTGAAGCTCTTTTTTCTCTCTGCGGTGTTTAGAAAGAAGTTCTTCCTCTTGGAACAATAAATCACTTGCATCATCAGTCATCTTAAAGACTTCTGAAATAAAGTTTATACCATACAGTATCCACTCAGTTTAATAACCTATATAGGGCTATACCATACTCCCTAAGTTAGGATGGTTGCTAAATCTGAAGTTGTTAAATGTTGGAAATATCTTGAGTAATTTTTGGGCCCCAAAAATACTTTTAGTGAAAACGATGTAACTAATGAACAGTAGTCTCTCCTTCCCTGCCACCCACTTACACTAAACTCTCCCTGCCACCCACTTACACTCGTCTCTCCCTGCCACCCACTCACACTCGTCTCTCCCTGCCACCCACTCACACTCGTCTCTCCCTGCCACCCATCTGTCTACACTCAGACACTCCTCCCCCCCCCCACCCCAACCACTTGGACTGACCAGTAGAGCTACGTTCTTGCTTCATGCAAGGTGACATTCAATCCCTGACCATCCAAATGGTTGTGCACCATTCCTTCCGCCACCCCTTAAATTAGACCAACACAAATGCTGCATGTTGTCCAAGACAGTTCACTTTCCAAAACAGCATTGATAAAACAGCTTTGAAGTTTGACAAGTTCACCTAACACTTTACTAGCTATAAAACTCTAACCTTAGCATAAGTAAACATCATAACTTAATCTAACCCAACTCGTCAAGGAAAGCTTAACTCCCAAAAGAAGCTTTAGTTACCAAGTTGAAACTGTGGAAACATATCCCTAATACTATCTACAATATTTTTATTTTATTTATAAAATATATGTATATGGCATAATGTTAGAGTTTACATGCATACTGCAGTATTTGCACTACTATTTACAAACACAGTACATAAACAATACAAACACAGTGTTTTGAGCAAGATGACTAAAGGTAATTAAATTTTACCACCACGATGGGCTAGTTTATTAAACATCATCACTCATCCTGGGAGTTATGCTAATGAGTCTATTGACTAGACAAGGCATCAACACTGGTCAAGGACATTTTTAGCTATATTAAAAAACTCATGACACCCAATCCTACAGCCTATAGGGTATATATTCAGGCCAAATTAACTCCATATAATAAAATTAAAATAATATATAAACTGTTTATTCAGGTAAAAATACATACATACAGGATGAGTTACAATGTTGGATTTCTAGATAAAGAGCTATTTATTTATATACGAGAAGGTACATTGGGGGGTTGAATGAGAACATAGAAATGAAGTTGATTTTACATTCTTGTAAAGCCACTAGCACGCATAGCGTTTCGGGCGGATCAGAGGATAAGAACCACTATACTATCCTAGCTAGACCGTCACTACCCTCCCTGCAACAGAAGGCAAGAACCACTAAACTAACCTCCTAGACCCTACTCACCCTGCGAGCAGCCCTGCAAGAGAGAGGAGCAGGTGACAGGGGCGCACTAAACTAGAAGGCACAATAGCAGGTTTCATTCGTTACCTCACAAACTGCCGGGAAAATTATTTGCACTTGTATCATTCATAGTTTTATCCGTTGCTTAGAATTTAACTAAAATATTATAGACACTACATATGCGTATTAGGTCATTAAAAAGACCATTATTTTGTAAGTTTCAGCTTAAAAATATAATTTAGTGTTAATATTTTGTGAAGTTCAGAGTTGTAAGCGACGTCAACACTGGCCAGTCAAATGAGATGCTATTTTTTGTTATGTATTCTTCAAGAGAAAAGCTAACAACACTCAGGAGATTGATGGATAGGTCTGCAAGATAATATCCCAAACAGTTTTCAGTTACCCTACTGAATTTTAAATTAAAGATATAAGTTCATTCATTCACCGGTCGGTGATCGTAGCGACAAGTTCTACTCTCACCGATTTGGCACCTATGCATGTATGAAATTTGTCATTTGTCGATGTATTCTAAGTATTAAATAATATTTTTTTTTAGTTTATTAAACTCCACCATTCAGATCAAATTATTTGTCTTACTTCTTGCACTGAAATGTGTACAAGTCTCTAAACTTGATCTATATTAATTTTAATTCGCTGTCATGCGAATTCGCTGTCATCCTTAATGGCATTCAACTCTCTTTTTGTGACAATTGTATCATACTCGTTACTGAAGCTAGACATAAATACTACACAATTATTAATGATGGTAACAGAGTCAATTTTATGTGGATTCCATCTCGTGTTGCCCTCCGAATGCATAATACAGCTGATGAGCATTAGCCAAAGAATCTGCCATCAAAGAAATAGTTGATTGTATTTAATAATTCATTGTGGCAGGGGACATGCAACCAAAGTGTATTCATATACAATAGGCTTATATCGACGTCCCCTCCCAAGGTCGAATTACTGACCCCGCCTAGAATGCATCCCCACAACAAGCTGACTACCCCTGAACAGTCCTAGTAATTACCCAAAGCTACCCAAGTCTCATAGCATTATATAAGTAATGTAGAAATGTGACATATTTACTCACTATGATGTTGGTGCTGAATGTAGAACTTGAAAAAAATCATTTTTACTCTGAAATAATATAATTTTATAACCAAATTAGACAAAATTATATGACAGGTATAATATACGACCTCCTATATGACTATAGGGAGTCAGCAATCCAAGCGACAATGTTGTGGAGCAACATCTTGTTTTATATATATTGTCTTCTTTTATATATATATATTGTAAAGATATATAGTTTTGAACTCCACTGAAACAGGAAGTGGGAAAAGTCTTTGAATATGTCATGCCGTGACCATACACAGTTAAGGTCATGCTTTGACCATAAACAATTACTGACCTGCACCTTACTGTCAGATGTGCATTGTCCCACTAACAGTTGCCCAACTTGTAGAATGTCTTGATATTCAAGATTATCAGGAAATTTTTCTTTCCCACTTTTGAGTTTTGTCCGATTCCTTAAATATCACTCATTTTGTCTTTCTGCTCTTGTATTGGCATCCTGAATGATGTCTAAGATCTTCTGAATATTTGTGACAAGACAATGCTATGCAGTATAGCCTTCCAGACCTGACACTTTGTTTTGATAATTACTAGTACATTCTTACTCAGCACCATATTGTGCTTGGCAAGAAGTGCTCTGCTGTCAGCTGTAACTTCATCTGACAAATTACTTACAACTTTGTAACTGAGAATATACGACTCATGTCATGTCATGTTCTAAAGGTGTTTCGACAAAATGTTGAAGCTATTTATGTTATTGTACATTATCATAACCCATATCCCACCTTTGTGAGGTAGAGAGATATTAGCCCAGAGAAATACATTATAAATATTACTCATCCCTTCATTGTACTATGTAATTAACAATGCATAGCAAGTTATTATGTGCTTGGTAAATTAGCAAGAGTTCACAACAATGTTTAAAACTTTATCTATAGGGTTGCTCTGAGGTATTGTTGGTAATTTAAGAAATATTTCCCATTGTTGGGGACAGGAAGCCTGTTCTTTACTTAGATTTATCAAGGCACCACCCCCTAGGTTAACTACTGACCATCCCCAGGATGCAATCCACAATAATTTCATAACACCCAGGTACCTATTTTACTGACAGATGAACAAGTACTTTTTTACTAATAGATTAACAAAGGCATTAGGCATCAACGGAAATATGCTCAACTGTTTGTCCTGCTCAGGTGCCTTGGTTGTAAGCCAATGACATAAACCACTGTTCTACGGGACTATACTGTGCAACAGTATATTGCTTTTACACATTTTAAGGTATACACAAAATTCCTGGATTGTATTTAGCATATCATTTGCTTCTAACAGCGGAGTAAATAAAATTATTCAGTACTTAACAGTACAGTATATTTAACTTAAGATGACACTTGTGGCTTCAGTAAAACAAATACAGCATACACCTATTTATACTTTATTTATTAGATTTATAAAATCAATGTATTTAAATTATAAATCTTTACTACAAAACACAACTTCTCATTGTAATTGCGTACTTTACAGGAATTTGCCCAATCACTTGGGCTGGGCGGTAGAGCGACGGTCTCATTTCGTGCAGGTCGGCTTTCAATCCCCGACTGTCCAGGTGATTGGGTACCATTCCTTTCCCCCGTCCCGTCCCTAATCCTTATCCTGACACCTTCCCAGTGCCATATAGTCATAATGGCTTGGTGCTTTTCCCTGATAATTCCCTTCCCTTTACAGGAATTTAAATATAATCCGTGACTGAATGATTCAACACTATCAGACACAAAAAGCAATAAGAATGCTAATGCAGCTTTTATAACCAGTAACAATCTGCTCAAATGTTGTAGGATCAAATGCATTTTTAGTTTGCCTGCAGCAACTCTTTCTGCTTGGCCATCATCATTTTCTCTGCTTCCTGCATGTAGCTCTCAGCAATTTCCCTAATCTGTGGGAAGAGAGAGGCTATTAAGAACAACACTATCCACCTGCTCTTCCTCCTTCCTGACCCTCTTCTGCTCCTTACCTTCCTCCTACCCTCAAAATCACTCATGAACGATTTTTCATTTATAAGAGATTGAATATGAGAGTAGTAGGAGAGTAATAGAGGATGAAAGCACTTCGTAAAATGCCTACATTACATGAATTAGAATTCATGAATTGATCTCATTAAAACAACAATACTGCGCTTGAATCAAGTATTTATTCCAAGCACAGTACAGCATAACTAAAGTAAATCTTTTGTAAATTTGCATTTCCAGACAAACTAGTATTGACTTATGATAATGACTGGAAGACAATTACAGTGGTTAGTCTAGTGTGTAGTCTGGCAATTTCTTACAGAAACTAAAAGACTTAAAAAAAATGCATATCTGTGAGATATGGATATGTCGTAGCTCAGTCGATTAAGGCAGTGTCTGGGATGCTCTCGGATGTAGGTTCGAATCCTCGTCATGGCCCTTGTGGATTTATTCATGTGAGATGGTTATTCTCAAATCAAATACATACTTCAAAATTTACTCCTGACTAAATTTAGATACAAAATCAGACAGATGAAGAATGGACAATGTTAACCAAAATATTTATATTCAAATGCTGACTGAAGAATAATTTGTCAATATGATAAACAAAAATAAGGACACTGACCTTCAGCTGTGCATTATGAACAAGGTCGTCAGGCATCTGACCTTCTTTCTTCTTGGATTTTCGGACATACTGGTTCTGTGAATCTCTTAGATGATCTTTACACCGATTATACAGAGTTTTAGCATTTTTGGCTAAATTTTCCCTGTGCTCTTTTGTAACTCTGAAAAATAAAACAGTACAAAGTTAACATCCACTTGATAATAGAAATAATTTGCTAAATGCAGAAGAACCCATGGTATTTATTATGGGCCTCTGAATATCATATTCTCAAGAAATAAACTAAGAGGTAGTTTGACCATTAATCAAATATTCTTACTTTGCATTTATACACCCCATCACACATGATATATTTTCAGAAAAATCTTAAGGAAATACACTTCTGACTTTTGCTGAACATACCAAAGCCAACAAATATGTGTTGAAGAAGTTTATTTAACATAAAGAACATAGCTGAAGCTAAAATATATTTGCACATTGGGAAAGGCCAGTAGTTAGCTATGGGGATTCTAGATAAGACTTTCTGTTCCCAACAGTAGGAAACCACGTATACAATAGTCTCCATTTGCAACCAGGCCAGGTCAAGCGGTATGGACAGCTTAGTAATATGTACTGTAGAAAATTGTGTGTCAATAATCACCAAGGCTTTGACTTAATATGAAAAGCATCTTTCTGAGTAGAATCATTTGGTTATCTCTGAGGTAGGAGGCCTGGTCGACGACCGGGCCGCGGGGACGCTAAGCCCCGGATGCACCTCAAGGTAACCTCAAGGAGGTAAGGACCTGCAGTGTCATACAGCAAGATCATGCACAGTCAGATTGGGTGTACTGTTCTCACCAGCACAACATGGATCTTTGCAAATCTCCCTGCAGGTTCATTAGAGCTGTAAGGGACACTGAACCAGCCTTATATGACTGACAGAGGAACAAATCCTAAAAATACAAACCCTTTTTAAACCCTCATTTGGCATCACAGATGATTACTAAAAGAGGTCTCTAACACTAGTGGCTGTCTAGACAACCATGCTGACAGCCACAAGGCAGCAGCACCATATTTATCTCTGGATTCCCCGACTTGTGTACAGCAAAAATCCAACACTAAAAGTAATGAAATGCCTCTTTCTAGTGAAAATGATAATCCTCTCTTGGCAGTCACCTGTTATTCTATGGGGGGATTCAGAAGGACTTTTCCCCGACTTGTGTACAGCAAAAATCCAACACTAAAAGTAATGAAATACCTCTTTCTAGTGAAAATGATAACCCTCTCTTGGCAGTCACCTGTCATTCTATGGGGGGATTCAGAAGGACTTTGGTTTATAGTAATGGTGTCATTCTGGGTTGGGTCGAGTTCCCTCATGAAAGTTCCCTCATTCCCTTTCGGGAATCCCTAGCATCTTTAATGATCCTTTATGGACTTTTGAAAAGATCCTTGAGGCACCAGTGTCTGAATGTCATCCTACCTGACTGCATAATCAGCAGATCTTGCAGTGCAAAATGATTACAACAGTTCTGAAAAAAATCCAGTGATTTTGCACAGTCCTAATAAAGGTGGACTAAAAATAGTAGGCCATCAAAAGTGTCCAATAGTGAGTGGTTCAGCACACTCATATTTCTTCTTATTTAAAAAAAAAAACTCACTTAGGTAGAGCCACGTATATTGTTGTTCCCTCCTGTTGTGGATTCAAGTTCATCCCACTTTCTCGCAGCGCAGTCATTATTCCTGTCAAAGCCTGGGGAAAAGCTGCTGCATTGATGACCAACAAGTGTGAAGACTTCCGAGAAATTTGAGCAATCTCATTCAGAGGATATTCATCCCCTTCAAGCTTCACAAGAGCATTTTCTATGCTTCCTAAGAAAAGAAAAACTGGTATTTTAAAAATGCCACAATTTATATTTTAGTAATACTGTGTTTAGCAAGTCTTCTATTAGATTCTTATTTATCGCATATTTTCCTCTTTATCACAACTTCTCTGCTCGACATGCTCCCTTACTCTTATAGCTTCACATCCCCTTGTCTCCTTCCTACTCGTCTACTGCTCTTTGCACTCCTGGTAATGCTTACTTGCAATACCAGTACTGACATTCACTGTTCAATTTTTTATTTTCATTTTGATTTTCAACATCAATAAAAGCAGTAGCTTTTCTTACTGTTTTGAGCATCATAATTATTTGATATTTTATATTAGTAATTGATATTGTTAATATTAGTATTAATATTAATATTTGTTTTTAGGAAAACTTTTGATTTTTTATTCCAATATGATTGATTTTTATGAAAATCCTATGAGAACAGAATGTAAATAAGGTGTCATGGAATCTATGCACAACTGAGTCATCTACAGTATCTACCAGCACAGCATTTTAGTTGAAACTTTACCTGTGGATGAATTTGAGTTCTTCTATTAATAATAATTTGAATAATAATTCAAATAATAATTTTTAAACACAAACACATTAGGGTCTGCGGCCCACAACAAGGTCTGCTGGGTAACAGATTCCAAACATTTCTACCATATCTGATCCCCCATTGCATACCCTATATGACGCATCTACAGAATCAATACTCCTCAACACACACACACATACCTACTGAGGTTCTGAGGGAGAGGTTCTTGATGTAGTCTTCCTTGAGTTTCTCCACAATACCTGAGAACTCCTCTCGCATGTGTGTGACATTCACCACCTCAGACAATTCAGAATCTGACAGATGAACTTGGATCTTTTTATCTGAAGGAGTGAAACGTCTATAAACACAATGCATGGGTCGAGTATGGTATAAGTATGGGTCTCTGAGGCCTGTTATGTTGGGCTAAGGCTCAGTGGTTACGAGAGTTAAGCTCAATGAGCTACTGAGGATTTCCTCAATAGTTCCATGAGCTTAACTCCGAGAATTTTTCCTCCCTTCTGAAAGTGGAGTTTCACTCCAGTAGCTCCTCCCAGAATTTTGTTTTTTAATTGTAGAGGCCATGTGGGGTGTAAGAAGCAATGGGAGTTGGGATGGAAAGAAAGAGGGTTAGTCCCATTTAGTCTGTTCAAGCAAGAAGACACAGAATAACTAAAAATTCCAAACAAAAACATAATTTAATGTATACATACCAACAAACATACTGGGTATTTGTATGATTTTTGCTTAACAGGTACATTTAACGTATCATGTAATCTACAATACAGTATACCATTATAAACTGCATGAGTAATTTTACTCATTTATTCAAAGGGACTAATTAATTGACATAAATTATAATGGACATTAAGCATGCAAAAATATCTGTACAACACTGACCCTTTCCCTTCTTGTCCTTGCTCTTGGCATAGTTTCGTATGTGGCACAGAGAGGCATCACGAGGTTTAAGGAATGGGGACAAAGTGGAACAAACAAGCACAAACATATCTCGATTCTTCACAGGATGAACAGTGCTGGTGAGGTGTGCAAATGATGACATCAAGCGAATGTGCAGTAATGGAGACAAGACAGGTCTCATCCTTCCTGCAATAACTGATCCTAGCAGAGCCATAATGGGTCCCAATCTGCAGAGAAAATAAACAAGTTAAAAAGAGAGACTTTTTCATAGACATCAAGACAATCAGCACAAGTGATGCAAAACCTAGCTCTTAAACATGAAAATAAATCCTATCACACATCCATGCATCAAAATAATAAAAAGAATCAAGACAGATGAAGATAGACAGACTACATGATGATCAGGACAAACTGGAGGAATGGTCTAGAAAATGGCTCCTAAAGTTCAACTCAGGAAAGTGTGAAGTATTGAAATTAGGTGCAGGGAGCAGGAGGCTGAACACAAGGTACCATTTGGGAGGCGAAATCCTGCAAGAGTCAAATAGAGAGAAAGATCTGGGGGTTGATATCACACCGAGCCTGTCCCCAGAAGCCCACATCAAAAGAATATCATCAGCGGCATATGCTAGATTGGCCAACATAAGAACTGCCTTTAGAAACTTGTGTAAGGAATTGTTCAGGATCTTGTATACAACTTATGTCAAACCAATCATGGAGTATGCAGCTCCAGCCTGGAGTCCATACTTAGTTAAACACGAGACAATGTTAGAAAAGATTCAGAGGTATGCCACCAAACTAGTCCCAGAACTAAGAGGTATGCGCTATGAGGAAAAGCTAAGGGAGCTAAACCTCACATCTCTGGAAGAAAGAAGAGTAAGGGGAGACATGATAACCACCTACAAAATTCTCAGGGGAATTGGCAGGGTGGACAAAATTATTTAGCATGGGTGGAACACAGACAAGTGACACATGTGGAAACTTAGTACCCAGATGAGCCACAGAGACATTAGAAATATACTTTTCAGTTTCAGAGTAGTTAACCAATGGAATGCAGTGATGTGATGGGGACAGACTCCATACACAGTTTCAAATGTAGATTTGAGAGAGCCCAATAGGCTCCAAAATCTATACACCAGTTGATTGACAGTTGAGAGCAGGGACCAAAGAGCCAAAGCTCAACCCCCCACAAGTACAACTAGGTGAGTACAAGCATAGTTGTAAAATTTTTAACCTTTCAATCTAAATTATTTTAAAGTTAAACATCAGGCCACTCACAGTATAGTCTTTCTTCCAATTAACAGTCAGTTTCAGTTATTTTTTTTTTATTCAGTTTAGCTTAGGTATGGCTAACTTGCTGCCTTAAGGTTAGGACTGAAACAAATTAAAAGATACCAGGATATTCAACATTGTCTAATAGTGTATTAGACAAGTAAACAACCTTTTCATGACATGGAATCTGGGCCCTTTTCAAGTAATGCAGCTATTCAAGCAATGGTTAGATAAATACTGTACTGTATATATGTGGGACTGGTTGGATATGAAAAGAAGCGGCCCCATATGGGCCAATAGGCTTTCAGGAGACTCCTTTATTCTTTTATTTTATGTTCTTGATGAACAAAAAATGCTGCTGCTTTCGTTTTATGCTTTTAAGCTATCAAAACCAAGATTCCTATAAATAATTTACAAGCTTTACCACAGTCTAGATAGACAATATTACTGATACATTTGTTACATTTGAGATGGAAACAAATGGGCAGAATTTCTTTCATCCTGATGCCCCCTGCTTACCTAGCAAATAAATAGGTACCTGGGAGTTAGACAGCCGCTATAGGCTGCTTCCTGGGGATGTGTGTGAAAATTAGGATTAAGGACTTGTCCAAAATGTTATTCATGCTAGTGGCTGAACAAGAATGTAAGAACTCTTGTATATATATATATAAATAAAATAAAAAAAATAGATGACATAAGTTCTTCCTGCAGATGACATAGGTTCCTCCTGCAGGTGAATGGCAAAGGTTCCTCCTGCAGGTGAATGGCAAAGGTTCCTCCTGCAGGTGAATGGCAAAGGTTCCTTCTGCAGGGGAATGGCAATGGTTCCTCCTCCAGGTGAATGGCAAAGGTTCCTCCTGCAGGGGAATGGCAAAGGTTCCTCCTGCAGGTGAATGGCAATGGTTCCTCCTCCAGGTGAATGGCAAAGGTTCCTCCTGCAGGGGAATGGCAAAGGTTCCTCCTGCAGGGGAATGGCAAAGGTTCCTCCTGCAGGTGAATGGCAAAGGTTCCTCCTGCAGGGGAATGGCAAAGATTCCTCCTGCAGGGGAATGGCAAAGGTTCCTCCTGCAGGGGAATGGCAAAGGTTCCTCCTGCAGGTAAATGGCAAAGGTTCCTCCTGCAGGGGAATGGCAAAGGTTCCTCCTGCAGGTGAATGGCAAAGGTTCCTCCTGCAGGTAAATGGCAAAGGTTCCTCCTGCAGGGGAATGGCAGAAGTTCCTCCGGCTGGTGACTGGCAAAGATTCCTCCTGCAGGTGACTGGCAAAGGTTCCTCCTGCAGGTGACTGGCAAAGGTTCCTCCTGCAGGGGAATGACAAAGGTTCCTCCTGCAGGTGAATGGCAAAGGTTCTTCCTGCAGGTGATAAACACGAGCCACCAGCACTAACCAGCAATTCCGTCAATGTTGTGGTGTGAAGTTCTCTTAGTTCCTTGGGCGGCTAGTTAAAATGTTAAATTAACAAAGTTAAAATGTTAACTTAACAGTTAAAATGAGGCTAATCTACAAAGAGCAAAATATGTTTCTTGGTATCGTCCTTGGCGGCTTGTGTAGTGAGGATGAGGGATGCTTGAGGTGGCTGTGGGTGGAGAAAGCCCGGCGAGAGGCGGCGACCAGCCTCCATAGGAACTAGCGTCATGTTTACATACAATTATCTTACTCCAAAAGTGCCGATTTAATTCCGCAATCAGAATCAGAAACTTATTTAATTATTTATTAAATATTTATACATACAATGGGGTGTGAAAGTACATGTGTTGGTTATTAAGTGATACAGCGCTCTGCGTGTTAGTGGCTTTAGGCATTGCCTTACTTAGTAGTCCTACACTGTTCTTGTATCCTATGTATGTATGTATGTACTTTTCTCTAAATAAAAAGTAATAATTAGTATTATTATTACATTCATGCAAAGCCACTAGCATGCATAGCATTTATTCATACCAACTTACACAAATCATACTGGTCCGTACAGAAATGGTTGGGCGCGTCTCCTGTTGATTTTTTTTTTTTTTTTTAAGATATATACAAGCGTTGTTACATTCTTGTACAGCCACTAGTACTTGTAGTGTTTCGGGCAGGTCCCTGGAATACGATCCCCGCCGCGAAGAATCGTTTTTACAACCAAGTACCCATTTTACTGTTGAGTTAAACAGAGGCTACAGTTAAGGATTTCCCTATCCCCAGTTTCCTGGAGTGCTACTATGTCAATATCCTCTCTAAGAGTATAATAGTGTACATCCACCGCTCTAGTTTTTAATCCATTAATGTTCCAAGATAATATTCTCAATTTACTAATGGCGGTGAAGGCCAAAACCGGAATTGCACACTGATTTTAATGCAGATATGTCGTGATTATCATAATATAAAGATGTTAAGGCACGAAAACCTTTTTATTCGTTAAATTGTATAAACTGGTGTATGTTTGTATGTATACCAAACAAAGTCCATTTAATGGCAGAATTTAGCCATTTTGTGTAAAAACTTTTATATCTCATATTATTAATTATAACAGTAGTCGAAAAAAGTCATAGTTTGTATATACAAGAGATGAAACAGAGCCATGAGCTATAGCGATGTGCTGAGTCCATAAGGAGGCCGAGCTTCCAGAAATACCTTCCTGTGATTGGCTGTTGCGGGGAATACCAACACTCTTTTATGAATAAAATTTTAACTAAGAAATAGGTCCTTGTGCACAACAACAAGGTTGTTGTGAAAAGGATCAACAATTTCTGTTTTGCACCTGACAGAAATCTCCATCTAACTGAATAATTTACTCGAATAAGAGGGCAGAGCAGAGTATCATTATTTGTGTCAAGGCAACCCCCAATAATAACGTCTCAAGTTAGGTAGCCAGCCCATTTTTATATAACATCTGTTATATCCTGCAATATTTAATTATCACTTTATTTACACTTTAAATACTTAACCCTTCACTTTTTAGGTCGATTAAAGTTGAAACAGAATATCATAAGCAAGGATGGTGTGCTGAATAAAGATGATTAATTAAGTGGATGGAGCCTTTAGTTGATCCCTTCCTGTGATTGGCTGTTGTGTGAATGTCAACAAAGAATATCTACCAATGATATGCCATTTATTATGCACCCCATACCATTTGGGGGCGGAGCTTGGAACCTCCTACCCGAGCACAACAACCCGCCTTATGGGTTGCTGTTTGGCTATTTATAGTGCGTTGGAAAAAAAAGAGATGGCGCTAGTTGTATTTTGTGGGGTAATTTGTTATAAGTGTAATTTGATGTCAACAGATGGCGTAAGCTGTATCTTATGGCTACTATTGACCAGCCAGTTGATAGTGTTCTCTTTTGCCGACAGATGGCATCAGCTGTATCATTATTACTTCCGAATTCCCTTTAAACACTGATCTACAAATCCCGTAGCTTATGATAAGGTTTTATACCATTTATGATAAGTATTAGATAAGCACTCCAATATGGAAAGCATTGCTATAATTATTACAGTACTGTACATAATATGGAATTGTCTCGTATGTATTTTAAAGCTATTACATTAGATGACTATGATAGTTTTTTATGATAGTCGAAATTTCGAAGTATCTTCAATGGCAGCTCTTCATAAAAAGATCTTAATCGTTATTGAAGATGTTTCTATGAGGTCTTTAAGACAAGGAGAACACCTGGTTGTCAGTTTATGAAGTTTATTATTATTAGTACTAGTATAATACTTAACCCACAAGGGTGGGGGGGGGGTAGAAATAGCCTAAGCTACTCTATCCCTTTGAGATGTATTTTCTTGTCTCAATAGACATACATGAACTTGAACTTAACCCTTAGACTTCATCATTTTTTTAGGGGGGGGGGAGAGGGAAGGTCCATTCCATAGGAGGAATTTTTCGGAGATTAGAAGAATTATTTCTTTGATTTTCCAGAGAAAATTATGGCAAGAAATAAAAGAAAAAATACTCGAACAATTTTAGGGATTTACCCTTATTGTGCAAAGAAAATTATTAAAAATAATATTTTGTCATACAAATATATTGTTAAAAATAAGGAAGATTATAGGAAAAGGCTTTAAAATTCTAGTTACCGTATTTTGGGTACAGGGAGGTGAAATAAAGGGTGCATTGCTTTTAGTAGCCTCAAGAAACACCAATACCTATTACAAACACACAATAATTTGATTTTACAAAGTTATATAAAGACATATGGAGATTACGCCAAAAAATATAACCCATTAATTTGTCCTACTTTCAGTCTGGCGAGGTGAGAAAATATTAGCGTGCTTCAGTCAATCAAAAGGGAGTCCAAATAGTAAAGAAAACCTATTACAGCACAATATGTGGGTTCATCACTCTGGTGGAATATACTATTTTAATTGTTTTCCAAATAACTAAGGATGTAAGGAGATGATGAGTCACAATAACGTGGCTGAATAATGTTAACCACAAAAATTCCGAATTCCCCCCCCCCCCCCAAAAAAAAAAATCAATTCCAAAAAATAAGGATGTAAGAAAACATTTTAAGGGAAGGTAATAACGATAAAATTATGTTCTTTATAACAATAATTCGTTGACAAATTAGCTATCTCGTCCGTCATGAACGCCGAAATAAACAATGTAACAAAGGATTGTTTGTGTACAGAAACGCAAGTGTGGCGATGGTGCTCACTTTCTCACGTGAGCATTTGGCTTGTAAGACACTGAGCGCCAGTTTACTTGTAAGACACAGCACCACGTGAGATGTAAGGCACAGTTCCCCAATTGACTTGTAAAACATGCAGCCCCTTAACCTGTAAGTCACACCGCCGTGTTCAAACATTTACCTAATAACAAACATATGGCTGCCTGGACATATCTGCAGCTGATATATGCTAATGTAAGTGATTAACTTTTATGTAAAACGTGACACTACTTAATGTACAGATGCTTCAGTAAATGACCAATTATAAGAGACTAATTTATTGTATAATTGATTATTTTCTTAGTAGTTAACAATTTGGCTTGCAAGTCCTCTACAAGTGAACCGAGTAATTGGTTGTCTGGTTGAATTTATGTCATAGATAATAGGTTAAGAGAAGGGGGACACTGAGGGGGCAGCAACTGTATGGTCTTCACAGATGGTTTGACTGATTTTTGATTCAAACTCAGTCAGATAATTCTGACTGAGTTTGACATTCTCAATCGACTTGAGAATGGTCCAGGACGGACCGAAACGTCGTCGTCCCTTCACCTTCTAGTGTGTGGTCTGGTCAACTTATTTTAGCCACGTTATTGTGACTCATCGCCTGCACATGGTTTGACTGACTCGCTCCTAAGATGAGTTCACTGGTGACGAAACAAAGGAAGTGTTGACAGGACGAGGAAGCCTAGCCGGTACCGCAGTAGGCTACGAAGTAAACGAAGAGGAAGGCACAGTAGGTGCCGACCAGGACGAGGCGGGAGAGGAAGCTGGCCCTCTGTGTTGCCTTGGCCAGCAGCCGTCGCAAGCCTGACGTCTCCTCTGAGGTGCCCTTCACCTCTCCTTCCTCTGGGCTCTCTGACTGCTGAAAATAAAATTAAAATTATCAGGTGGAAGCACTTTAGTCAGTAAGATTATGTCATATGGAAGTCCGATTTACCCAAACATTACAAAAAAACAAACCTAATTCAGCATGAATAAAACATCAAATGACTCGCCATATCTGAGAAAAACAAAAAATATTGATCACGAATTCAATAGCAAACCCGTATTTGTGCAGCTCTGGCCTGGAGTGTGATGTGCAAATTTGGCATCGTATTGCCTCATTAAATAGTACAGCTACTGTGCAAGTTTTAGTTAAACCATAACAACTGCTCAGTAAACGCACAGGTATACATAAGTGTGAACACCTGCAGGTTGTCTAATGGACTCCAATAAATAAAGAAAATGTGGCTATGATTATTTAGTCCCATCTTCTAAGTTGTCTGCAGAGCTAAACGATAAGTTGTGCCATAATTAATCTTTACTAAGCACAGTAGAGGTTTATGACTGGAAATATATTATACCACACCAAAGTGCAAAATAAGACGTTATTTTAATACTTTCCTCGTTAAAATGTCTCAAATAAAAGCGAAGTTGTGTATTTTATAGTATAAATAAAATAAACGACCGACTTTGTTGACAGGAATGCTAGTTACATGTATAGTTTCAGCTCAGTACAATCTGACAACTTTAGGAGACTCAAACCACGTTAAAAACAGTGTTGGACAGGTATCATCGACCGTCAGAATGCATGGGTTTTCGTTAATATATAAAAATTAAAGGAATTTCAAATCTGTATTGCATATGACCTTTATTGGCTGTGACAATTGATATGCTATAAGCTTTAACACCACACTAAACCTAACCCGACGTAACCTATGTAAGTTAAAGTGGAGTCTGGGGCTGACCTTGTCCGCCTGGGTGTTGTTGCCTCGGACCTGACACACGATGACGTGGACAAGGGTGCCGAAGATGATGACGAGTGAAATGCCTGTGAAGATGTCCACGGCCCTGATGTAGGGCACGGAGGCCAGGGACTCCTTGTACAGGTTGGAGAAGGACGCCAGTGTAATGAGTGGGATGAGAGTTAGGAGGAGGCGGCCCAGGAACTGTGAAGGGGGAATGAGGAAGCCAAACCATGCCACGATCACCAGGAAGATGGTGGGAATATACATCTCCAGCAAGTAGCTGCCGAACACCCTCCTGATCTTCATGTTGACCTCCACACAGCTGTACACTCCTGTGGACACACGGGTAATGGAACAGTGAGAGAAATAATTATATTCTGTCTGTTTCTATCGCAGTTTTTTTTTTTTTTACACGGTTGGAGTAGATGACTTCAGTCTCATGTTAGCAAGTTCAGCTATCCATTCCCATAGCTCTTAGCAAGCCTTACCCCCTACTAGTTTTCTCCTGAAACACGACCCGCCAATCGGTTTAAAACTAGGTACCCCCATTACCGTAAACAGTTATTGATTTGTGCCCAGTCAATCTTCCCTCCCCAGCGCTCAAACTAAATCGATTGATTGATGAAGATTAAGCCACCCAAGAGGTGGCACGGGCATGAGTAACACGTAATCAAAGGAAATCGTCGTGTGGCTAGTTTACCCCCCTCTCCCTCCCCACCTCCACACAGCAACCCGTTCTCGCAAATTCGTAAAGTCAAATTGACTTATTAACTACGTGCATAGGTGATAGACTAAACATAATAGATACCCAAAAGATTCATAGAAAACACCGACCTTACCTAACCTTGTTAGTATCAAGATAAGCATCTTATTGCTTCGTAATTACAATTATTACTTACCTATACCTATTATAGGTTAGGTAAAATTGTAATTACGAAGCAATTAGATGCTTATCTTAAGATACTAACAAGGTTAGGTAAGGTCGGTGTTTTCTATGAATCTTTTTAAGGGTATCTATTATGTTAAGTATGTCCCTATGCACATATTTAATAAGTCCTTATTAAATTTGCGAGAACGGGTTGCACACAGACACCCTCCTTACCTGTAGCGGTTTCAGTGTCGCAGGAACCCGTGTCGTACTTCTCAAAGGAGAACCTGTCGGCGTGGAGTTCCCTGCTGATGGCGATGGCAGACTCCGCCGCCATGGTGAACACCAAGCTGTCGCTCGTGTAGCCGTCTGTATGGACAGTAACAGTAACAGTTGTAGCAGTGGTTGTGGCAGCGGAGGAAGTAGTACATACTGCACACAGTAGTAGTGTAGGCAGCAGGTGGAGTACACATAACAATAGTATAAGTAGAAATAGTAATACAAGTAAGTAGGAATAGTGATACAAATATATGATCGTTGCTAATGAATTCTGGCCATCAAGGTTATCCATCCCAAACATTTTAGACATCCTTAGAATTTAGTTTCAGTTACCTGGCCCCAATGTTGGCGGGGACTCAAAAATGTGTGGGGAGTTTCCGACAATAGTTTTGGCGCCAAATATGTAAACACCACATTTTTTGTTACTATACAAACCAATATTTGTAACGAACCCAATTCTTTTAACAAGACATAACTTATACTAGTCGATAACTGTGCATTTGTATGACAGTACAACGCCAAGAGAGCTGGGGTTTAGTTTATTCACTTTTATCTGATTATTTATCTAATCTTCAAGGAAACAAGAGTACATTTATAAGATGGCGACCAGAGTGCGTGTCGGCCAAGCGGGTTCCCAACACTAAGGAGCTTCCTATTTATAAACTAGACTCGGCAGTAGCACCCTTCAGATACAACTTCTAGCCAAGCCTGGCCAGACACTGCTATGCAGACAGCCTACTCCCGCCAAAACTTGTCCTGCATGATTCTTCTCTGCTCCTAGACTTGACCCAATTTAACCCTATCTGTGTGCAAACTTAGGCCTGCTTTAACCTATCCTAGAAACCAGTCTAAACATTGGCCTAGACTAATTGAAGCCTCATCCTTTTTTTTCAACTATTTTCTGCATTGCTTGAATTCGAATGGTTTGTTAAACTGTGTTAGCCTCTGTGGTATGTAAATGTCTACATTCCTTTTTTAGTTGCAATTTTTGGAGGTTTATCAGAAATCCCTCTGATGAAAAAATCTCTCTTTCTCTCTCTCTCTCTCTCTCTCTCTCTCTCTCTCTCTCTCTCTCTCTCTCTCTCTCTCTCTCTCTCTCTCTCTCTCTCTCTCTCTCTCTCTCTCTCTCTCTCTCTCTCTCTCTCTCTCATAGGGGCCTGACGGCTGAGTGGACAGCGCTCCATATTCGTAATCCTAAGGGTCCGGGTTCGATCCCGGCGGAGGCGAAAACAAATGGGCAGAATTTCTTTCACCCTGATGCCCTGTTCACCTAACAGTAAATCTGTACCTGGGAGTTACACAGCTGCTACGGGTTGCTTCCTGGGTGTATATGTGTGTGGAAACAAAATAAAATAATCAGTTGATTGATTGACAGTTGAGAGGCGGGATCCAAAGACCCAGAGCTCAACCCCCGCAAGCACAACTAGGTGAGTAAGCACACAGTACTCACAGCTAGCCACGTTGATGTGGCAGACTTGAGTATCGTGAGGGAAGCGAACCAGGTCCATAGGGCAGCTCTGCTTGAGGCTCAACCTGCGGGAAGGAGAATGAATGAGTGCGTTCCTGCGTGTAGTTGTGCAAGCATCACACCCACGTTACATTTACATGAGAACTAAAGACACGAGAAAAATAAAGACATGAGAACATACAAAATTATATTGGGAATTTGCGAAGTAGACAGAGAAACAATGTTTTAGGCTAGGAACTGCAGAATAAGTCCTGTAGCACAATGGTCAGCGCAGTTACGGCACAACCATTCGGGTTCGATTTCCTCGGCAGAACAGAGACGTTTGAGACCTAATATGCACAATATCCTAATATATAATAATAATTATAATTTGTATTTGAGAACATTCGTGTTTTGAATGAACAGCATGTTACAGTTTATGAATGCGTCTTTGGGGGTCGACCGCTGGACAGAATAAACATAGACTAAGGAAGGGTTGCAGCAGACACACCCACACACCCACCTGGTGCTGTAGATAACACGACCGTCGGGAAAGATCCTGAGATATGCCTCCGGATGGATGGACTTGCGTTGAGTTGTGATAGCGTTCTTGAAGAAGGCGTCAGGGAGCCAGGCCAAGTAGGGGTTGAGTACAGTGACATACTCCACTCCTAAGGGCAGAAGACCTTGTTGTAGTATGCAGTAGAAGTGTTGGCAGTAATTGCAGATGTACAAACATTAATACCGTACTGCTAATACTAATTTACATTACCAATATTATTATCCAAACACACAAGCTTTCATCACCATCACTTGCCACCATCACCATCACTTGCCAACATCACCATCACTTGCCAACATCACCATCACTTGCCACCATCACCATCACTTGCCAACATCACCATCACTTGCCAACATCACCACCATCTTCAACATCCCACCTTACTCACCTCCTGTGTTAAACGTAAGGCGCTCATCGTTCCAGATCATCCTGAAGGTGATATCAAAGTTTGCTTTCTGGAATAAATAAATTTGCATTAAGTATACATGCAGTCATATACATTTTGCACACTTGGTCATCAGCAACACCGTCTGTTTTGGGTCTGAGAATTCCAGTTTCCTGTCAGTGTGAGCCCAGACTGAGTTGAGGGTAATATTTCGTGGTCAGTCAAATAGAAGGTTCAACCCAGTGGGCACAATATCCAAGTGTGGCGTTTTTCGGCGTTGAATCAACGCTAGTTCAACGTTGATGACGTTCATTGGGCATTGCAATGGATATTGTGCCTACTGAAAACTAAAGTTATTCTGGTTTAGGCAACAGCCATTTTCTTAAATAGCAATATATATATATATATATCCACACATATACTTGCCTAAACCACAAGTGAGAGGTAAACACACATCAGGCACCAACCCCTGCAAGTGACTCGAACTTACAAAGCACAAGTGTTCGCGCACCTGAGCATAACTGATACACTAACCACTACACCACCCAGACCCTACAAAAGGGAACGAAACTAAGGAGTTTATCGGCAACATTTCGAGGACCTTTTACCACCCTGGTGCCCTCGGGGGATATATATATATATATATATATATATATATATATATATATATATATATATATATATATATATATGTATATATGTATGTATATAGTATTCTATATACATAGTCTCATGAGACTGATGGATGCCTACTACTCTTCTATACGATCCCACAGATAACAAACCCTATACTGGTCCATTAAGCAATATTAATTATACTAAGGCTAACTGTACTAGAGATTATAAGTTGGTACCCATTTTGTGCAGGTATTTTTATACTGGCATTAATGAAACTGGTGTCTATATCAACACGAAAATACACCCACCATATTGACGTCGTCAATGTCAATGTTTCGGAAGTACGTCTGGATCTGGACTTCGGTAGCACCTGTGAGATGATAAAGATGTTTTAAGAAAAAAATCACTAGGCTCCTTGAGCCTCCTATTTTATTCCACACTAGGCTACTTGAGCCTTCTATTATATTTCACACTAGGCTATTTGAGCCTCCTAGTTTTATTTCACACTAGGCTATTTGAGCCTCCTATTTTATTCACACTAGGCTACTTGAGCCTTCTAGTTATATTTCACACTAGGCTACTTGAGCCTCCTAGTTTTATTTCACACTAGGCTATTTGAGCCTCCTATTTTATTTCACACAAAGCTCCCCACAACTCAGTACTTGTGAATAAGCGACCCCACAACTTAGTAATTGTGAATAAGCGACCCCACAACTTAGTAATTGTGAATAAGCGACCCCACAACTCAGCACCCGTGAATAAGCGACCCCACAACTCAGTACCTGTGAATAAGCGACCCCACAACTCAGTACCCGTGAATAAGCGACCCCACAACTCAGTACCCGTGAATAAGCGACCCCACAACTCAGTACTCACTGCCGTCGGCTACTGAGGGTCTGATGGCTGGGTCATAGACATCCGGGTTGGTCAAGATGCCGAGGATCTCTTCAGTAGCTGTAGCCACGGGGTCCTCGCCTGCCACACTGGTCAACATAATACACAGTTTAGTCACTTGTTATGCACCCCCATACCCATTCCTTGGGCGGTGGTGGAAAGGGTTACAATGCATTCATGAATTGAACTCCAAAATTTATTTAGCTAAGCAAGTTACTCTCTTGATAAGTTAGTTACGAAATGTTCTTTTTTCTTTTACACAAGTGCATGTATAAGTCAATAGTCTTTTTTTGTCACAAGTGAACAGAACATCAGGACATGTGTGAAAGCATCGGAGTGTTTGTATATGTGAATGTTACACAGTGTTCATATATAAACATTTATATATACTGAAATGCATGTGAAGAACCTCACACACACTCTCAGCTACCTAACAAGAGAGCAAGTTTAGCTTAGCTGTCAACACACACAGTGTCAGCAAGGCGGCCAGCCCGCCTGCTTTCATAATATCGTGTCAGCAAGGCGGACAGCCCGCCTGCTATCATAACATACAATATTTCCCATTTCAAAGCTTTCCCTTCATCTGGCTCTTTCTCCATCCTCTTTACTCCCGAAAAAAAAGTGATTCAAGACGTGGCCTACAACAAACAGTCTTTATACAGGCAGTTTACATCTGTGGTGAGTCAGTTACGCAATAATCCTGCTCCACACCCACCCAACTGGGCGGCAGCTTTACAGTCATGTGCAAGCATTACGTACAGCATTAATGCTTACACACAGCAAATTTTGGGTACTTGTCTAAGCTTTCTGACAGTACATCATTATGAATTGGGTATTACACATTTCCCGAACACCATTGACGGAGTTATCTCTGAATTCCGCGATTTTTTAACATGCATTTATGTAATGACGCAAAGTATGTGAATAGTTCTGCTGACAGTTTATATTTAGTCAATATACAGAATTGACTAAACTGTACAAGAGTATATGGTGCAAACTCCCAGAGGTATTTGTAGCCGAGCCTAAGCCTATAGCGAAGCGCGGATGTTAACACGGCGCCATAGTGACTTATGGAAAGTAGGCCTACTCACCTGTGGGAAGCAAGGACCGCCGCTGCCACCAAACTGGACCACAATCCCCAGCGCATGACTGACACTGTACTGCTGACCTGAAGACAGTAATGTTGAACATATTACATGGATGCTAAATGTTGATATAGTGATAATAAACGAGAAAATGATGATACGGGTGCTGGTAATAAGGATCACTTCAACAACTACAGATACACAATAAAAATGTTTGTTTAAGAAATGACCGGATACGAACACAGCCTTGACTGCTTCTCGAATGTAATTAATAGGTACACGGACAGACGGACAAAGAGGAAGAAAATAGGGCGTTGAGGGCACGTGAATAAGGGTATAAGATCGCGGCAACTATTAACACCACCTCTACCACTATCATCAACACCACCACCGTCCTTACCACCACACTACTATGACCATCACCACCAGCAACAAGGGGAGGGGGGGGGAGCTGAGGTGAGGTGAGGATGCCAACACAGCCACTGCTTGTTCTGTATCTAGTAGGGGGGAGGGGCGGGGGGAGACTCACCAGAAGTTCGAATTCTTCAGGGCTCAAGAGCTTTCGGATAATATATATTATATAATATATAATATCGTACATGAGGATTGTCAGCCCCAACGAACTCAGTATATAGGCAAGACAACAACGTCCCTCTCTAGGCGATTAACAATGCACAAACAACAGGGCTCCATCAAGGAACCATCAATCGCCACACACAACGAGACGATCACCAGGGATATTTTGACGAGTAACACCGAGTAACACGAGATAGATACAATGACAATAGAAGATTAGACATCAGTGATGCGCAGCATATCAAGAAATCTAGACCAGCACTTAGTAACCAGCTAGTACACAATTACACTCCACCCTCTTCAAGACCCCGGGCCAACACACAAGCAGTACCGAATGACCCTTCAACAGGAACGGAAGAAGAACGTAAGTTGCCAACATATCACACTCTATGTTGATACATTTAATACCATATTAATATTCCCAATGTAATGCCATTCATTCATATGTTATCTAACCACCTCACCATAAGAGGGTATAGCCAAGTGCTAAGCACGGCAGAATTTACGAGACCTTACGAAACGCATCACTGGGCGTCAGACCCAATCAAAAGTAAAAATGAAATTTGGAGAGTTCATTTTTCAACTTCCTGCTTCACAGAAGAAAATCATAAGGAATATCGAGATTTGTGTCAGAATCATAAATCTCAAATTTCTGTCGTTTTCCACGAACGACAGAAATAAATAAATATATATATATATATATATATATATATATATATATATATGTCGTACCTAGTAGCCAGAACGCACTTTTCAGCCTACTATGCAAGGCCCGATTTGCCTAATAAGCCAAGTTTTCTTGAATTAATATATTTTCTCTAATTTTTTTCTTATGAAATGATAAAGCTACCCATTTCATTATGTATGAGGTCAATTTTTTTGTATTGGAGTTAAAATTAACGTAGATATATGACCAAACCTAACCAACCCTACCTAACCTAACCTAACCTATCTTTATAGGTTAGGTTCGGTTAGGTAGCAGAAAAAGTTAGGTTAGGTTAGGTTAGGTAGGTTAGGTAGTCGAAAAAACATTAATTCATAAAAACTTGGCTTATTAGGCAAATCAGGCCTTGCATAGTAGGCTGAGAAGTGCGTTCTGGCTACTAGGTACGACATATATATATATATATATATATATATATATATGTCGTACCTAGTAGCCAGAACTCACTTCTCAGCCTACTATTCAAGGCCCGATTTGCCTAATAAGCCAAGTTTTCCTGAATTAATATATTTACTATAATTTTTTTCTTATGAAATGATAAAGCAACCCTTTTCTCTATGTATGAGGTCAATTTTTTTTTATTGGAGTTAAAATTAACGTAGATATATGACCGAACCTAACCAACCCTACCTAACCTAACCTAACCTATATTTATAGGTAAGGTTAGGTTAGGTAGCCAAAAAAAGCTAGGTTAGGTTAGGTTAGGTAGGTTAGGTAGACGAAAAAGCATTAATTCATGAAAACTTGGCTTATTAGGCAAATCGGGCCTTGAATAGTAGGCTGAGAAGTGCGTTCTGGCTATTAGGTACGACATATATATATATATATATATATATATATATATATATATATATGTCGTACCTAGTAGCCAGAACGCACTTCTCAGCCTACTATGCAAGGCCCGATTTGCCTAATAAGCCAAGTTTTCCTGAATTAACATATTTTCTCTAATTTTTTTCTTATGAAATGATAAAGCTACCCATTTCATTATGTATGAGGTCAATTGTTTTTTATTGGAGTTAAAATTAACGTAGATATATGACCGAACCTAACCAACCCTACCTAACCTAACCTAACCTATCTTTACAGGTTAGGTTAGGTTAGGTTAGGTAGCCGAAAAAGTTAGGTTAGGTTAGGTAGTCGAAAAACAATTAATTCATGAAAACTTGGCTTATTAGGCAAATTGGGCCTTGCATAGTAGGCTGAGAAGTGCGTTCTGGCTACTAGGTACGACATATATATATATATATATATATATATATATATATATATATATATATATATATATATATATATATGTATATACATATGTATATATATATATATATATATGCATGCTTCTTTTGTTAATAAAATGTTAATGCTTCGTTTAAAAACTGTAAAGCATATATTTTGTGAAAAATTGAAAAGTATGCAAGACTACTACCATGAAACATGTAGCTTAGCGATGCTTGCTTGTATCTAAGTACAAATGACGAACTTATAACTGTTGCAATCACTTACAAATAGGCTTGTAATATATACAAAAACAACAAACACTTTGGAATTACATAAACCAACAAAAAAATAACAATACTTCTTCAAAGCCTCACATTCCAAAAAGTAGTTCATGCCTACACTGTGATATTATCTTAGCGATGAGCATATTAAATTAATTGACGTTTCGAAAATATACCACTTAGTTACACGCCATTTTTCAAACAACCATTATACTTGTAAAAGGAATTAAAAACAAAATCTTTGATATACAGAAAACAATGTCAAGTTAATCCCCTCAGAGATTACATTAATCTTAAGGCATTCACCATGACATTAAAGTTTGGGTAATGGATGATGGGAAGTGTACTAGTACTGGAGGGATGTGACTTACTGGAGAGAGGAGTGTGAGGGTTGACTGGGCCTCTGACAGCTGGGTACTGGCAAGGACCCCGTGAGGAAGCCTCCAACCACTGGCCACACCCCTCACTCTCCCCTCACTCCCACGCACTCCCCTCACTCTCTTTTTAAGCTAACGCTAGGAATCATTAGCAATGGCATTGATGTTCCTTATGAAATGGCAAACTAAGTCGAGTTGTTATGCTACATCAGCTCATCTGAAGCCTGGCTCCAGAAGTTCATTGATTTGACTGGCTTAGTATTTGATCCCATTTGGAATAACTTGGTTCAGTGCTAAGTTACTAAGTTACAGGCATGTTAGTGGCATGATAAACTGGAGTCAGCTGCATGCCAGAGCCTTCGTATTGCAGCCGGTTGACTAGATTTCACATGTGCTGAGCGTACATGTTCCAAATGAACTTGACTATCTAACTTCTCGGTCTTGCCTAATTATCGCATTTTGCTCTTGTGCTTCCTCAAAGGAGATAAAAATATGAGATAGGGAGTTATTTAGGAGTTTCATTCATTGTCAACATGAACTTGGAATATAAATTATATGAACAATAATAATTATCTGCAAAGTTATCGTATTATTATTATTATTATTATTATTATTATTATTATTATTATTATTATTATTATTATTATTATGACGGGACTTTAGGAGAGTGGACATAGTAACATATTATTTGATAGCCGTAAACATATAGTAAACATTTTACACAGTCTGTAGTGAAGATAATTGGAATTATACTGTAAATGGAAGACGGGACTACGCTGTATAGTTAAGTGATACAAGACGTGGCTAGATTAAGATAAACCAGCTTAAATTAGCCCGCATCAGGCCAGGTCTTGTCGGAATACGATAAGAAACATTTTATTCAGACGTGCCAAACATTCTTACATGACATTTTTTTGTCAGAGCGATAGATTTTGTCAGCTGAATCTGGGAGCGTAAGCTGAACGGATGTAGCAAGAAGTAAAAGCAAGAGAAGCCTCGTCTTGTAACATTACACTTACTGTTTCCTACCTTGGTGTCTTAAGCAGCTCTTCCTCCTACTTAAGGGGGCAGCCATTTAAACAAGTCTCAAGTGGTTGCCAGAGACGGGAAGCTAAGAGACTTGTGGGTGTTTGTGCACGCAGCAAGCCGGACAGGGAGAGAGAGAGACCTACAGAGCTCTATCTACAGTGTTGCTATGCTAACACGAGTGTTCCTAGGCTAACACAAGTGTTGTTAGACTAACACAAGTGTTGCTAGGCTAACACGAGTGTTGCTAGGCTAGCACAAGTGTTGCTAGGCTAACACAAGTGTTGCTAGGCTAACACGAGTGTTGCTAGGCTAACACAAGTGTTGTTAGACTAACACAAGTGTTGCTAGGCTAACACAAGTGTTGCTAGGCTAACACGAGTGTTGCTAGGCTAACACAAGTGTTGTTAGACTAACACAAGTGTTGCTAGGCTAACACAAGTGTTGCTAGGCTAACACAAGTGTTGCTAGGCTAACACGAGTGTTGCTAGGCTAACACAAGTGTTGCTAGGCTAACACAAGTGTTGCTAGGCTAACACAAGTGTTGCTAGGCTAACACAAGTGTTGCTAGACTAACACGAATGCTACATTTTGCTTTCTTGGCAGATGGATGTGCATGCCACTTGTATTTCAGGGTGCAGATAGTGGAATATCATTAACTGGTACATAACAAATCGGAATTTTCAGTTTAATGAAATTGTTTGTTGTTGTCAGGTTAGGGGCAGCTACAGCCCCCTGGGCCGTATGCACCCAGCTAATCTACGCAGCAGTAAGGAGGAAGTTTGTCTCTAAAGCAGTGCTGGTGAAGCTGAATTTCTCACGACCTTGATACAAACTGATCGCTTCATTTTGTAATATTTATAATGCTTTTAGCCTAGTCCAGGGGAGATTTATACGATGTATTAGGTGTAGTTGCTATTTTGTATACATCATTTTGGCTTATTTGGCATTGATAACAATGTTAAATTAAATTAAATTAAATTTTTTATTCTGGAAAAGTACATACATAGTTGATTTACAAACATAATGTTGGATTTATAGATAGAGCTAGTACATATAATACCTAAAGCTAATACGCATAGCGTTTCGGGCGATGTGCGCTATATGTGTTTACCAGTGGGAGTTTTTAAAGGCATTTCTCTTTTTTTTGTTACCCTAAGATGTAATTCACTTACAATTTTAGTTATTATCACACCTAGATATATTTGTATTCCTTACAGTTGACGATGTCTTTGTTTCGGTAAGCAAAATTCCTTGATCTCGAAACTATACCGAGGAATAAACTCATAGAATAGTTTGCCTATCTAAGAAAGCACAGTGCTCAGTCTTATACTACAACTGGAAAACTCATCAGAATACTAGGAGCTGCGCTCGAGAAGACGTTGGCGTCGGAGACATTGTGGGGAGAGTTGAGGTTATAGGGTGTAGCACGGAGGGTCCGGTGGGCGATGTTGAGCATCGTTCATTCGTCAGGAGGAGGTCGTCGTCGCTCTATAAATAATTGTAAACACAGGAGGGTCCAGTCATTTACTCTAGACGACCGAGAGCGCTTGTAGAGCCCCGGGAGCTGGAGCTCCACTCCCCACCCCCCCAAACATAGCTTAGTAAGCGCTCCAACACACACACATACACATATAAGGCTCAAGTAACAGGGCCATCCCACGCCAGCCATGCACTAAGGGCGATAGTCCCGGTGACAGAGATGGTGACGCCCTCGGTGACAACAACCAAGTGTGTGACAACTTGACTGTTTTATTTTGTGTAACAGGAGACTGTGTGCGTAATGTGTGCGTGTGAATGTACTTACCTAAATGTGTGTGTTCAGGATCAAGCTTCCTAGTCCCGCCTTGTTAGTTAAATGCGTTTTATTCTTACTCATTACTTACTTACTCACTTTCCCTGCCTTACTTCCTCTTGAAACTGTTTATAAATTCACCTCGATAATCTTTCAGCCCATTTCACCAGCACACTTACACTAGAGTAGTGTAATGCTCCCGGACGCAGGTTCGAATCCTCTTCACAGCCCTTGTGGATTTGTTCTTTAGAGTAGTGTAAGTACAATTCTCTTTACTACTAAGAGTACAGTAGTACTCGTACACTAAATAAATGTTTCCTGAGAGCTCTCCGGCACATGTGGGTCTTAAGACCCGGGCCTCCTGGTCCTAATGTTCGTCATTGTGAGTATTGTCCATTTTCCATTCATATTTCCCTCAATGTCTTAATTGTTGTTGTAGTAGGTCTCACGTTTATCTTTCCTCCAGCGTCGTGAAGTTGAGCTCTCTCAACCGAGTTCCCTCACTTCCGAGACCAGTCTCGTAGCAGGAATACGCTGAAAGAACAAGTTGTGGAAGCCACCTCCATCCACAGCTTTAAGGCCAGATTCGACAAAGAATTTGAACGTGAGAATAGTTATAAAGCAAGAGATACAAGGGGGGGTAGGAGGCGGGGCACAGAGAGCTGACGTGAGCCACAGTGTTGCTAAGTGAACTCTCTTTTATTCCGAACCATCGTAAAGGAATACGAGGTCCAGTGGCTGGTCGTGCGCTCGGTGATGCTCGGGACGACTATCGCCAACACACATTGTTTTGACTTCCCATGACATGGAAGGAAGATGAGGGTCGTGTTCCCACCCACACGGACCGATGGACAGCTGCCTCGCGGTGCCGTCGTAGTCGGACGAAGTGACACCACACACATCACACACAGAGATCACACTAACGTGATGCATCAAATGAACAAATCCACAAGGGCCGTGACGAGGATAAAAGCCTGGTTTGTACCTCGGAGAGGCTACGAGATCCAGTAAGTTCAGTAGAACTTCGTTTTCAACCCTTTTAACCCTGTCATAGCTCAGTCGATTAAGGCAGTGTTTGGGATGCTCCCGGACGCAGGTTCGAATCCTCGTCACGGCCCTTGTGGATTTGTTCATCTGACGAAGTGATCGCAGGGAGCGGGGGACATATCACAATGACAACCCCGGTAGTCACTGGTTAGTGCAGGGATATCTCCTCGCCTCCCAACCTAGCAGTTGGAACAACACTAGGAACCCGCGTTCAGTCCTAGGGCGGGACGGACACAGTTGGGTACGTTTACTTACCCCTGATGCCTCTGTTCACCTAGCAGTAAAATAGGTACCCGAGAGTTAAGTTAGTTTAGTTCATTTATTATGCACCCCATACCCATCTTGTGGGCGGTAGTGGAAAGGGTTACAGAGGCACATAATGGGCTCAGGGACTGAACCCCACAATTCATTTAGCTAAGCAAGTTACAATCTTGATGAACTAGTTACAAAATTCAATATAAGTCGTCACATCAACAATGGGTTCGAGATTGACCACAAGTACAGTTTCTAAATTAAGCAACTGACATATGTTAAGCAACTGACAATGTTCTAAAGAGTTCTTTAACTAGGTACCTGGACCACGGTTAATGAAACATTTACTCAACCACTTACGAAGTCTGTACATCTTTTCTCGATCATGACGGCTTTGTTTACATTTATTAAACCATTAATGATCTCTGCAGCACTACGATGTGTGTAATACTACTAATCTTGGGTTGTAAAGTTTAGAAGCTCACGAACTGTTTAATAAATGTCAACAAAACCTCCGTGTTGAAGCACAGATGTACAGACTTCGTAAGTGCTTGTGTAAATGGTCCAGGACTCTCTTGTTGGTCTGGCGTTACATGCTCAGGGGCCAGATTCACGAAGCAGTTACGAAAGCACTTACGAACCTGTACATCTTTTCTCAATCTTTGGCGGCTTTGTTAACAATTATTAAACAGTTAATGAGCTCCGAAGCACCAGGAGGCTGTTTATAACAATAACAACAGTTGACTGGGAAGTTTTCATGCTTGTAAACTGTTTAATAAATGTAACCAAAGCCGTCAAAGATTGAAGAAAGATGTACATGTTCGTAAGTACTTGCGTAACTACTTCGTGAATCTGGTCCCTGGTCTCTCATGTTGAGGTGTTGCTTGCAGTCTCTACTGCTTCTCTTCTCCCAGGTTCGAACCCTCGTCAAGGTCCGTGTGGATTGGTTCATTAGTCGCATTAT